ATGAAAGGGGGGGGATGAGGCTCAATTGAGAGGAAACTGGGGCCTGGAAAGGGGAGGAATGTTTGAGAAGCAAGACAATGGAAATGAAGTGGATGGTTTGAGGTCAGAAGATGAGTTTAATGGGAAATTGGTGACTGAAAGTCAAAATAAATTATTCTGAGAGACAGTGAAGTATTGGAAAGGAGAGTAAGTATTTGACAGGGAGATAAATGACGAAGTGTGTGAGAAGCACCGGATATTAGTGAGAGGATGTAGATATTGCAGAGGAAGCAGTAGATTAAGGTTAATCAAATAACTGCGTATGAGAAAATGTACAGCGACGTAAAAGTATAGAAAGAAGACGGAGATTTAAGTTTCTGTGTTGAGATCCGTTACCAGGAGACGACTAATGAAGACCGAGAATCCTACTGCGTGTGTAACGGTGAACTGTTGATTGTGTAAATCGGCGATAACGCTCTGTTAATTTTAATTAAGAGAGTTCGTAACCGAAGTACCAATAAAACCAATCATCCTGACTATAACCCGTTATTTTCGTCAAGCGTACCCCCATACACGTGACAGTATGTATTAGGATATATTCCCTATTTCATCTTTATATGGAAAGTTTTGATAATGGCATTCATTTAACCTGCCGAAACATATACAACCTGGAACTGATGTAGAAATGCTACTGTTTTTGGACGGGAATATAAATTGTTGTTACTCTTACCCTCGGAGTTCATCACGAATATTTTGTATATTTTTCTTGTCTCTGCAATGCGTTTTGTATCGTGATCCTGGTAGGCAGGTTATATTTCGGTCAATGAAATGGGAAAGTGTATGTAGTTACTGGACTGCCATATGTAGGGATTTGAGGATTGTAACCTAATTCAGGAAACCGCCCTGTTCTGGAGGGACTGAGGCAATGAACGTAAACCGGTCTATCTCATACAGTCACATAAGGAATACAACACTGAGGCGTTTCCGCTATACAAATAAAAGACTAAATTTATTCCCGTACCATGCCGAAAACACGTAATTGAGAGTGGAATTATAGTTCAGCTCAATCCTAGCTTCGACAGGCACTAGATAGAGATAAGTCGTCAGATTTGCGCTTCAGCCGCTTTGCCCCCGAAGAAGGAGCCTCCAGTATCCCATGCGTATGAGGCTTGGGGTACACCAGAGCAAGTCTGGACAAGGCGGAGAAGAAAACAACTTGTTAGGGTTGCCGGGAATCGAAATCCGGTTCTTCGGTTGTCCAAGCAGTAGCCTAGGAGTGACAGCGAAGTGATGCATCAAGCGGTTAAATAGGTCATAAGTCTGAACAGAGGAAACTACAAAGAATCACATAAAATTGAGATGAAAGGGTATGAAACCCAAAACTTGCTTACTCTGTAACCAGCCAAGATTAAAGAAATTAAAGAAAATAAGTTACAAAAGAGCGTAGTTGATTGAAGCACTATGCTAGAAGCCGGAAGGTCACGGGTTCGATTACCGATGAGGTCATTCAGTTTTTTCAATTGACCTAATCCTTCCTGGTGTCGACTCAGCCTCTAACAGAAATGAGTGCCAGGAATCTTTCTGTAGGTAATGGGCGCCCAGCGCGTAACGTTGACAACCTTACCGCCATCTGTGAGCCGATTATTTAGAGAAAATATGGGAGCCTCGACGTCACACAAGCCTATGGGCCTCCACGGCCTGTTACAGGGATAGCTGTACTTTCTACCAACGAATACAGATACAATGGGACAAAAGATCTGGAAGGAGAAGAGCAGGGAATATTTAAATGAAAAAGGTCACGACAGGACAATTAATACTGAGGTATCACGAACGTCTAAGTCGCGTCACGAGCCGTACAAGTTTGCCGTAGGGAACACACCACAGATGAAAACGACAGAGATATTGGCAAAATAGGAATGAGATCAGATTTTCAAGTATACATAGACAGAGCTGTAGAGAAGGAAGGGAGGCAATAAATCAACTGCCCTGATAACACACAGCAATAAAGGCCTGCTTTCTGGCAGGCAGATATCCGCAAGTGCGCAATAAATATCGCGGTACTACGCGCATGCGCGGCGAGATGCAGAGGCACCTCGCTATTTATGTTGTGACGGGACTCGAGGGTAATGTAATAAATTCTAGTATCTATTTAGAGCGATTTTTATAACGACAGCTGTGTTGAATACATCGGGCTTAATGTAACAGCCAGATGGGAGCAGATATACGCGCAATCAGCAAAGCTTCAGACGCTGCCTTGTAACATGTATATGTACACTTCTGTGAACTGATTCTCCGATCGCACGAAGTTAGTAACTGAATAGGCACTTCACCACCTCTGCTTGTAGGTATCAGTTACAAAGACACGTGATAGACATTCTGTTCCCTGTGTGTGAAACGAAAACTCTGAAGTGGCCGGCGTCCGAAGGTGACTTCTCGCCTCGATCTAAAGCCAAGGCCTATTGTGCATGGTGCTTTAGTTTGATTTCCCTCATAATTCTTCGTCACGGTATCATTTCAGAGCTTATGGAACGCGCAGATCATCCCCGGGTCCTTCGCTTGCCTGGCCTGACTCCTACTGCACCACTGGACCGCAATTTTCGTTCAGCGAATTGCAATCTCCGTGGCCTGTAGCCCTCAAGCGAACTATAGCGACCGAGCGACCGCCGCTTGTCGTGGAAATTAGTGCCAACGATAGACGATGTCGCGTAGTCAGCGCAACGAATCCCCACGGCCGTTAATCTCGGTTTTCTAGACCGGAGCTGCTACTTTTCCATTGAAATAGCTCCCCAGTTATCCTCACAAGGCTGAGTGGACCCTGTTCCAGTTCCACTACTTCTCAGAAAATCTGGTAGCGCCGGGAATCGAACCCGGGACCTCTGTATATGTAGCCAGAAACTCTGACCACTAGACCACAGAGGCGGTCGAAGAGTTGCAATATCTGTCAGTAATAATGTACCATAGCACGCTGTTGCACATCGCTTTTTTTTACCTGTTAGTTACTTTCCGTCTCACATGCAGCTTGCTTTTTAAAACGTTCAAATGTTTTAAACGTTAACATCTCGTCTACACTACTGGTGTATGCATACTACATTTTTCTACCAAATAGCTCATCTTCAAGTGTCATTAAAACAGCTGATGGAACTGCTCTGCTTCCGTCCGTAAGTTCAATTTCTGTGGTGTGCCCTCGTCTGTGCGCCAATGTGTCTATAATTAGCATTAGTAAAAAAGAAACAAGTAAAGCTATCCCTGTAAAAAGGCGTGAAGGCCCATAGGTTTGTGAGACGTCGAGGCTCCCACATTTTCTAGACAATCACCACGCAGATGGAGGGGAAGTTGTTAGCCTTACACGCCGGCCGCCCTTTACCCACCAGGAACATTCCTGGTACTCATTCCTGTTAAGAGGCTGAGTCGACCCCAGGACAATAACGCTGCTGGAATTATTAAGTAAATTGAAAAAAATCCACCTCCTCGGGAATAGAACCCGCGAACTTCCGGCTTGTAGCATACTTCCTCCACCAAAAACGCTACCGCGTCTGGCATTGTGACATGACGTATGAAAGCCGGAAAAGTTCACTTCTAGGCAACGGCTGGGTAAAGACATTCTCGCGGAAGCGAACGCCCGCAACAATAGGTGAGCGGTGTTTTCTGTGGTCTGCGCTGCACTCGTCACTACGCAAAGGTGTGGTAAACACATCTCTGCAGCAGTGAATCAATACGAAACAATAGAAGAAACGGTGTTTTCTGTGGATCCGCCCCGAGACTACATAACGAGGATCTCGAGCAGCTAGAATTAGAATTGCGTCGAGTTCCGGAGTTGGCAGTTGCAGCAGAGAATTTATGGAGTCTCTGGAGTTGGCAGTTGACAGAATAATTGAGTAGATGATGAAACATGGGTCCATCCATCAGTAATCTGTCAGACGACAGGTCCACAGTCTCTTCCAAAACAGTTCCTCCACTTAATGCGATCTTCTGTTTTTGGAAAGAGACTATCCAGGAAAAGTGATAATGTGGTAGTTTTTCCATTTGCTTTCCACATCGCAGTACAGCAGCCGTTCAAACCACTCTGGTCACGCCTGTTGCTATACGAACTTGAACCATCTCGAGCATCATTTGCTCTGTGCTTCAAGTCACTGCTGATGACGCTGCTTCCGGCATCAGTTTTTGGTGTCTCTCTTCGTCTGATGCCTACCCTTTGACCTGTCCAGCAAGGGAGGCCCTGCCAGTAGCTACGCTACCGCTGGTATAGCTCTCAGGGTCCTTGGCATACTCAAACCCCCTCACCACGATAAGGTGGAGACACCAACGAGGGGGAATTGAGTAGAAATGGGAAGAAAAGAATTAGACTATTCAAAGAAGACTCCGTAGTGTGCTGCAGTTACAGTGAGACTGTTATGAATCCGTTGCCAGGTAACGACTAGTGGAAAGTGTAATAAAATGAGGGCATTAGTCTTTGTGTCAGTTATCTGTAAATTGTGGAAACAGCGATAGAGGTATAATTGCCTGTACTTAGGAGTTGAGTGCGTAAGGTGTTAATAAATTCAATCATCGAATTAAACCCCGTCACGCGCACCCTAACAGGTGATAGTATTTTCTATGACGTCTTGGTATTTTTTATGGTATACACGTATATGTACTTACCCTATAGTAGTGGGTAGTTCCTCTTATTGTGTCGTGTGTAGCTGTTATGAATGGATTCGCAATATATAGAAAACCTACACAAACAGATATAGAACGGCTCCTGCCACCCACATGAACATGAAACATCAAGTATAACGTACAATAGGCCAATTAGTGGCCGAAGTATCAAATGGACTCAGTGTTACTCCACCCCCTCCAAAAAGGGCAATAAATTGATCGAAATTCGGTTATCTTTAGCGTTTTTGGTACATGTCAACACAGTATCTCTAAAGCCACTGCTGTCTACTTCAAAACTCTCGCCAAGTCACTACAAACGGTCATTTTCCGTTTTAGTAAGTGAGGAAGCTGCATTATTCAGTGTCTTTCTCTTCCTCGTTTTGCAGAACATCTCCATCCTGGTGGTACTCCTCTACAGCTGGAGGATCGGCGTCAACGTAAAGAAATACGCCGATCTGGAAGACGTCTATTACGGTAAGTAAAACAGAGATCCACATTCCGAGGCTCAACGGAGTATTCGCCTCGTCACAAATGAACTCGTCATTTCTGTGGCACAGGAGGTCCCAGTCCAGCCGCAATATGGCCCTGGGGTCGACTCAGCGTCTAACAGATATGAGTACCAGGAATCTTCCTGGGGTTAAAGGGCGGTCGGCTCGTAAGGCTGACAAACTTACTACCATCTTTGAGCTGATTGTCTAGAAAATGTGGGAGCCTCGACGTCTCACAACCCTATGGGTTTTCACGGCCTGTTACAGGGATAGCTTTACTTTACTTGAAGGTCCCAGTTCACCTGTTTCATGAGCATGGCAGTTGGTGTAGGCCATACGATAACCATCATACAAACTTATAATAAAATATTTAATGTTTCCCTATTTTCTTATCGTTCACTACGTGTTTCGACCGCAAGCGGTCAGGCTTTATACCACAAATTTGCCAAAATTTGTATAGGCTCTAAGTACAGACCCGTTTAAACATGGTAATGCATGCAGTTATTAGATGGAACTGTAATGGTTCTGGTCGGGTCCGGTCCAGTTTTAAACGTGCGTCAATAAAAGTTAAAGGCATGGATGTCTGTGTGTGTTTATTCTCTATTTATGTTGTGCGTGTAGGTAGTGACCTTGCGACGGGCTGATCCCCCGTCAAAGGAGTCCTGTCTACTGTGTATAGGATCAAGAAACTGAAAAACGGCAAAGGTCCAACAAAAGAGCTGTGGAGATATACACAGTTCCTGCTTACAGATCAAGAGGTCCCGGGTTCGATTCCCGGCGCTACAACATTTTCTGAGAAGCACTGGGTCTGCAGCGGGGTCCGCTCAGCCTCGTGAGGATAATTGAGGAGCTATTTTAAGAAAATAGCGGCTCCGGTTTGGAAAACCGAGATTAACTGCCGTAGGGATTCGTTGCTCTGTCCAGGCGACACCTTCTATCAGCTAAAGTTGGCACTATCTTCGACGACAAGCGGTGGTCGCTCGGGCGGTATAGTTCGCTTGTGAACGCCAGGTCACGGAGTACATTGTTGGCCACAGACAGAGGGAAGTGTTTCCCCCGCACGCACAAGAAGGTCGGCAGTTGTAAACAGCGATTTGTACGCTTGCGGACCAGCATATGGTAACCTGCTGCCAACCCAGAGGCAGCCGCTTGGGAAATACTGTGCAGTTTTGCCCACAACATCAAATTATTAAAAACTGTGCGTTAAAATCAGGGTGGCTATTCCGGGTCACGAACTTAACGTGAGTAGTTGGAAATTAAATTTTATAGTGTAGTCTAAACTTACTGCTACTATCACTACTACTAATACAACAACTAGGTAGGTAGGTAAAGGTAAAGCTATCCCTGTAACAGACCATGAAGGCCTATATTGGCGTGAGATTTCGAGGCTCCCACATTTTCTCTAGACAATTGGCTCACAGATGGCGGTGAGGTTGTCAGCCTTACACGCCGGCCGCCCTTTACCCCCAGGAAGTTTCCTGGTAATCTTTTCTGTTAGAGGCTTAGTCAA